ATGAACAGAAAGTGAAATTAAGATGTGTTCATGATTCTCACCCTATATTCTTGGTAATGGGTCTGAACCCAATAGCAGCAGGAAGCTGGATGAAGAACAGTGATCTGAGATCAGTAAGGGCGGGGATGTTTCAACTATTAAAATTTGCAACAAAAATGTCTGGGAACTTGATGTCAGCCTCAAATGAGTCAGGGTGATTCTCAGAAAGCAGACTTCATTTTGGCAGAATATGGTTTGTTGGGTGGTGTCACTCATGTTATTCATCCCTCAGGTTGACTTTTCAAATACCTTCCAAAGTCTGAATCACTGGCTGGATCCTCTTCCACTGTGCTGGTGATGCGCCTGTTTCCAGATGGAAATGACGATACTTTTTGGAAACATTAGAGGAGCAAGATGATAAAAACCTGTTATACAGTACCAGTCCAAACTTTGGAAACACAAGGTGTCCAAACTTTTGACTGGTACTGTACATTGTATTGTTAATAAAGCGAACAACTGGACCACATACCTCTGTATCCGATGGAAAGCCAATTTTAAATGTAATAAAGCAAAAAGAAAAAAAAAATCTACAATGCTGTGAGTGTTCGGGAAGCAGAAATCACAGTACAGTTTTTGGACTGGACAAGAAAGATAAATGTGTGTATGATGTCAAATGTCAGGAAATTGCTACAATTTCCTAAAGCCCACATTGACATGTTGACATTACTTGTTTTGTCTAATATTTTACAATACTGTGCCCAACTTTCATTACATTGCCACTTCGTATCTTTCATTGACCAACTTTCGTTTTTCAAAATTGTACATCTGCCAACTTCCTCCATCTCTACCTCTTCATCTTCCATCTCTCTACCTTACCTTTATCTGTCCATCTTCTTCCTCGTGATGTCCCGTCATAGAATAACTCCACACGTATGACAAAGACCTGTTGCATAAGATCACAGACAGTGAGCCTGGCTGCGCTCATACATCAGCAGCGGCTTTATCCCGCCATCAGCCAGTCCAGACATACAGGTACACACTCCCGACATGTCCCATTGTCATTCAAATGTTGGGCTGGTGATTGAAGTGCTTATCTCTCCTAATCGGAGCGTGTAAAGGTATTACTGCTGAGGGAGAGCGTCGCCACACCAACTTTGATATGGAAAATCACATCTGTGAGCTCCCAAACAACATTATCTACAGAGAACTGAATATACCAGGTAAAACCTTTCCTGCAACCCCTCCATCTGTTGTCTTGGATTAGCTCCATGCTTATTGCCTTTTTTTTCAGATCCTCAAAGACAGAGAGAGCAGGGAAGGTGACGGGGTGGGCAGGGGGTGGGGTGGGGTGGGGTGGTGGTGGGGGTGGTGGGGGGGTTGGAAAAGGGAGGCAAATAAAGAGCCGAACACACATCTTGTTAAAAGTAAGATTTGTAAGCTTATTATTTTGTTATCATGATCATTGTTATAACCTCTGTTATGGTTTGTTCAGTTTACAGTTTATTTTCAAGTTCATTTAAAGTCATTCCAGTCGAAGGTAAACATGATTGTAAATTGTTGTTTCCAACACTATTAAATGCTTTTGTTGTTTTGCCAGACAACAATCAGTCACACTCTCTTGCACACACATACACACCCACACAATGAAAGAGCAGAAGCAAAGAGACTGTTGCTCGCTCGCCCATTTGTTCCCTCACGCACACACATGTACACACACTTACACCAGTACACACAAAGACGGACAGCATCTCATGCTAAAGCTCCTGCACACAGCCATGATGTAATTAACAGAAATGAGCTCTGATACTTACTCTCCCTCACAAACACACACATTCATTCAGACACACACACACACACACACACACACACACACACACACACACACTGTCTTGCTCTCGTGTCTAAGTTCTTAAGTGCAACTTCTTGAAGAGTGATTTACCCTCTTGCACAGCTCTTCAACCCTCCCCCTCAACACCAGAACCCGAACCTCTCCTACCTCACCCTCCCACCAAGAGCCATACATACACCTGGACTGGTTCACACACATTATTACAGTCTCTTAAATCTACTCATTGCTGCTCCAAAGCCACATTATCCTGTTTGTTTCCACAGAAAGATGCTCTTGTTGGAGCTAATACATTTCTATGAATTTAAAATGTGTAGTGCAGTTCGGCCGTACCACACAAAATATATCTCATTCTTTTGTGTGTGACTTAGAAGATCATTTGATCTGTTCTAAAAAGTGTTCAAATACAAATTTCTGAGGGAATAACCACCCTTTGGTTGAACTGGTCCCAGCCTGGACCACACATATATATCCTGTAAATATATTCTGTTATAGATATAGCTTTGTTTTAAAGGGTTTCCCTGCAATTTACTATTGCACTGCCATAAAACTGGGGGACTCACAAGAAACAGATGAAAAAATAGATCAAAACTGGTAAAGCAGAGACCAACATATTGATACAACTTGATGACACCCACTGTTGGTCCATCCCTGCCTGGTAAATGCCCATATTTTTCTAACTGTATAGTCCTCGTTTGTAACTCTGTCCGAGCTAAGCCTCGTAGCATCATCAGGGTTATTTTCTCAGACTTTAAAAAGCTCCCTCCAGAGCCACAGAGGACCTGTTACACGTTTTCACAGGCTGAGTAATACTCCTAATGAGTCCCTTTAAGAAAACAAAAATTTCCAAAAGTTATACTCTATAAGATAATTCAACTGTAAATTTGAATAATCACTTAGCTAAGAGATTCAGAGAGTGCAGCCCAGGTTTACTTATGGCTCAACCCACCCAATTCTCCAACTTTTTAAACCCCCGTCTTCCCCCTCAAGATAACCAATTATACACCACAACAATCTCAAAAAAATAATTAAAAAAATGGAAAAAAAACAAACAAACAAAAAAAAAAGCTAAGCTTCAAGTTTGTAAAAATGCTTACATCACATTTCATCTCGGCAGATTTCAAAACATTGGAGTTCCATTCTTTGTCTGTTTTGACATTTACACAGGTATTTGAACGTCTCATACGCCGCTGTGTGACCTGGTTGGCCAGCTTGCAGTCCATCATCTTCATTATTCATTATCAATATAATCATCATCACCTTCATCATTGTTATCAGCTACTATGGTAAGCCATGCCCTACTAGAGTCCATTGTTGGCAGGGTAGGGTAACCATGGTGAATAAGGTGCTAGTTGCTATGGAAACGCTATTCTGAAGCAACCGACTGGTACAGTTGTTTGAATTTTGAATTGCCGTACCTCCCCACCAAAGCACTTGGTTTGTATGTATTACTTGTTGCTTTAGTTGTGTTTTGATTTTTTTTTTTTTTATTTTGCATTTTCATACTTATAAGATGTACAGTATGTGGATGTATTTTCAGGCTGTTAGTACCATTTAAAATATTCTCACTCGCTATCAAACACTCAAACACACATGGCACACTCAGGCATATGTTTTTCTCTCTCGCACACAGACTCACACGGTAACAGAAAACTGTTTACATGTTGCATCTGACAAATGAGTTTACAGAGATGAGATCGGTAGAGCAGGCTGCTACACCAACATGGACCAGTGGAGAAATTCTTATTGGCCGGGACTTGACCTGTCCTTAGGTGATTGTGTGAGTGACTGTCCTTCCTCCTTCGTCCCTCCTCCTCACTCCTGTTCCTCTCCTCCAAACAGCTTGCAGTCGGTTGAGAGGAGGGCAGTATTGCTGAGTGTATCCATGGCTGCTCCGTAGCCACCGTGTGCTTTAGTTAACCTCGGAGATGACAGAGGACTAACCGAGTACTTCAAAGACAGGGACAGAAAAGTAACAAAGCAACTTATAACATCAATAAACCCTTGCAGTTTCTGTGTCAATGGCACATCTACGTCCCTCCCGCCAAAATGATTTTTAAGTGGATGATTCATCGTTTAAATGCTCTGTATTTTCCCCCTGACCCCATCCAGTTCTGTTGCCTTCTGTAGAGACTGATGGTGAACACAGGATGACACAGCAGAGTGGAGATGGCAACTAAAACACTGGTATCTGGAGTCCCGGGGTGTGTTTGTGTATGAACTATCAGCTACTTTGACCAGTCTCCTACACAGGACCAGCACAGTTCATCAGCTGGTTCCTTTTTTTTCCTCTATGGACTGGGACAAGTTCCCAGCATCAAGATAACATCAACAATAACATCAACAAAAAAAAGGCAATTTCAGTTCAATTCTGCTGAGATCTATTTGATTCAGTTCATCTGAGTTCATTTTAAGTCTTGTTGCAAGAAACTATGGCAACTAGCCCTAAGGAAGTGTTTTAGCCAATCAGATCCAGGGGAAAGTCTTCAAATGGTTTTCAATTGGGTTGTTGGATTTGATGCTTTTTCTTCTTTTTATTATGTTTTCAGCCCCGCCCATCTCCTGTTGTATAAATGCTTTGTGTGGTGTGCGTGATTCAACAAGCTCAACCTATGGCCTGTTCAGACACACACACACAAAAACATAGACATACACAAATGCACACTCGTACACAAGTCTACCACACCTGCATCTGTGTGCACAGGCTGACTTTAATGCAATATACAGTTCAGTCTGTGTCACGAAGCGCCTGAAGGTCTTTAAACTCCACCAAAAGCACACTCCCTCAAACACACACACACACACACACACACACACACACACACACACACACACACACAGACACACACACACACACAGATGCTTGAAAACTCTCATTTCAAAGTCTTGCTCCTCTTGCCTTCTGCTCTATTTGTGGTATCTTAACTCTCCTCTCCTCTCCTCTCCTGACTCCCCCACTTCTCTCCCACCCCCTGATACTGTACACCCTCCCAAGGCTAGTTGGCATGGTGACGCTGATGGGATGGCCGNCACACACACACACACACACACACACAGAGACACACACACAGACACACACACACACACAGATGCTTGAAAACTCTCATTTCAAAGTCTTGCTCCTCTTGCCTTCTGCTCTATTTGTGGTATCTTAACTCTCCTCTCCTCTCCTCTCCTGACTCCCCCACTTCTCTCCCACCCCCTGATACTGTACACCCTCCCAAGGCTAGTTGGCATGGTGACGCTGATGGGATGGCCGTTGCTAGGAGATGAAGTGAACGGCCAGAAGGAGCATTGTCACGGTGAGGAGAAGGCGATCCCTGGATGGGCTGCTTCCGCTGACGCTCTTCTCCAGCTTGGGAACGAAAGGGTTAAATTCATCTGTAAATACAGAGACAGAGAGGAAAACAAAGAGGGAGAGTGATGTCTTTATTTTCATTTATGACAATGCTAGCAGAGAATTTCTCAACACTTGCAAACCTTGAAAGGAAAATTTAAAAGATAAGTTTTTCTGAGCTTCTAAATGTGCTGTAATCTTGTTACACAGCACGGCCGTTACTAAAACATGACCAAATGTGTTTCAATGAAGCAGCCTGACTGAACAAAAGGCAGCACGCACTGTCTCACTCCCACTGAAATGTGGTTAGTGTGCTACAAAGACAACACAACAGTGCCTCAGCAGACTGCAGCTGTTATTAGAAAGCTCTCATTGTTCTTATACAGTGACACATTCCCAATCAGACACACTACTTTTACATACAGACATACTGTATATAATGCAGCTAATCTATCTGTATTTGCACCTGGTGGTGTCCTAAAAATAGTTTGTGGTTTTTTGTCGCGGGGTTACGCACCGAACACTGATGTCTAGTCGAAGTACAAAAAGAAGTCAGCAGACAGTTCGCTACATGCCTACACTTCTGAGACACACATGGGGCGAGACGCACCCTCTGTAGTCACATGATTAATGAGACTGGAGACCAGACAGTAGCACAATTTTCTGTCTGTACAAAAGTCACGCTGATGCTGATTAGTAACTCCTGTGTTTACGGTCCGATTGGGATGGAAGTGAAGTGGGGATGTTGTCAGTGTTTCCACCCGGCACCAGATCTAGTTCCAGAATATTTCCAGCTGCTCTGTGGGTCAGACAGCAGAGTAATGACTGGCTGACACCTGGTTTTAGAGATGGCCTCCTCTGGTATGCTCCGCTGGCCAATCTAATGAGGTCTATGCAGCAGTGGAGCTCAGGTTAAATGCTTTGACCGCTCTGTAACTGAGCATGCGGCTGAGGGGTCAGGACACTGTGTTACTTTGCCGCTGACAGACAGAGGAATGTGGTCTTGAAGACACAAACAGCAGACTGCAGAGAATCTCGCACAACTGGTTCTAAAGTCCGGCTATACTAATCGCCTCATTACACACCTACACACCCACACGTACCCCCCATCTCTCACTAACTGTCACAGATAAACACATAATCATTAGCGTGCATTTTTTGGTGTAATGTTTGTGCGGGAGTGTGCGTGACGTACATCGTGACCCTGATATGTTCTGAGCCAAACATTAGGTTGCACAAGGAAGCTGTGTGTACGTGTAGCTATGTGTGTGTGAATGCACGCCATATTTTGGGGCAGAAAAGCAGGCATCTGCCTGATAATGAGGAAGTTCAGACACCTGGAGGCGTCAAGGAATCTGAATGTCATGTTGACAAGAACAAAGAGACTCCTTTCAGTCCTTGATTGTGGTCTGTCTGTACGCGGTGTACTTGTGTGTGTCAACATGAGTGTGTATGTTTGTCAGTAGCCATCAACTTCAGTGGCTTCTGCCTGAGCTAAAATGTAAGAATATAATGTCATATAATGACCTAAAAATAGAAACCCCTTGTACACAGTTCAATTCAATACAATTCAATATAAAAGTCCCATAATAAACACTTTATGAAAATAATTATCTTTTATTGTTGTTGACCACTCTGGCAGATTAGTGTTGATCCAACTATGTGTTCATCTTCTTTGAATAACTTGTGGTGTTCCCCGACTAGAACGTCCTCATTAAAAGGTAATTCCAGGGAAGTGGTAGGCTGAGCACTTCTCTTAGTCGCTGGTAAATTGAGTTTCACAAATAAAAACAGTGGAGAGTCATTGTAAGATTAAGAGCAATTGTCTAAACTTGGTTAGTGAAGCATTGGTTTCCCAACCAAGGGCAACTAAATATAAACTGATGGAATATTTCTAACTTCATTTCTGGGAAAGTCTCCACCTTTTCAAACATCAGCTGAGACAGTTCATAGTGTAATTTTAGTTATAGCCTCGGGCGGAGCCACTATAAATAAACAAACTGAAACAGAAGTACTATTTGGAGGGTATAATTGATAAGCTGAGGTTGATTCTATGATCCATTCTTTTCGCTCCATAATCCAAATCAGGCAAATTCTATTATGAAATATGGTGCCATGTGATGTTTGGTTATATCCCTAATAAGCATGAGGAAAACAACTGATCTGATAGATTTATCTGTGAACAGTACAAAAAATAAAAATATAAAAGGCAATTTCCACTGACAGAACACATGCTGAACATATACACTGTAGGATGTATGGAATCGGAGTATAGTGTATTAAGTATATATTTATCAGCGTATCCAGTATGATTCACAAGCCTTTATTTGGCATCTTTTGAACTGACTGAATTAAAAAATACAACAGATGTTTCTCCAAGTGTGATAATAACCGAGATGACAGAGTTCTTAACAGCTTGTGTGTGTGTATGTTCTGCCACTGACATCCAACCTGATGTTGCTGGCAAAGCACACCAAACACACTATCGCTTAAAGGAGTGGTAATTGCTACAATAAACCCCATTAAAGAAAAAGCTTCTGATTTCTCCACTAATGGCCGGACCTGATCGTCAGATGCGGTAACCTGAGCCAACAGGGTTGGTAAATGAGTATCCTCCCACTGAAAGCCATCAGTAATCACATGGCTGCACGGGGAGCTGCTAGCACCATTCCATCTGTGTTGTAAATGAGATCTAAATGAAATCTAATACTAGAGGCCGTATTCAGGAGGGAACCACTGTTGAGCTGTAGACACTGATTGAAAGGGGCAGTGTCCAGGAAATAAACTGTGAGCAGTGAAGGGGAGAGAGAGCGAGTGAGTGAGTGAGTGAGAGAGAGAGACGGATGGTTTACAATATGATCCTGCAACATTCAGCTTAGTTAAACATTTTCAGACACGACAATCAGACGGATTGGAAGGGAGCAGTTAGTGCGTGTCGCCTTGTGTTTGTGTGAATGTGCTGATGTGAACTTTGAATAACAGTAATTAAAACTATGATGTGATGAGTCTAATCGGCAGTCAGGAGGACTGAGAACGAGGGAGGGGAATAGGAAACTGTACCGCTTCTTTGTTTTCAGTTCATTTCACAGCTCCCTGCTGATTTCCTCACTTCCTCTCGCACCACTTGGGTTATCCAATTAATTTAATTGGCAACACAGCACTACAGGTGAAAATGACCCATAGGAGCTGAGGTAATTTGTGCTCTGCTATTGTGTCAGCCATTCACTAAATATTAACAGTATTGTCATGTACTCCATTTTCCTTATCTGTTCAAGTACATTGAATACAATTATTCTTCTGCAAAAATAATCTTTTGCTTTTCTTTAAATTCTTGTATGTGCTGTACCTTGTAAACAGTTGTGTACGGCATGTGATTTGTCCGTCTTTTTCAAGTGGATCTTTTATGTTGCTGGGATGAGCATCTTTTAAATTTACTGTGTGTTTACACGTATGTGCTGGAGAGGAGGGAGGGAGTAAGTGGTGAGGATACGTGATGAGAATGAATCGCTCGATGATATAGTGGCAAACAAAAGTACTGGTGAATTAACTTAAATCTGTTACCATAAGGTAAAAAACCATGAACAAACAGACACAATATAATTTTGAAATGAAATTATTTCTTTTTTTATATTGTTTACATCACTTCGATAGCATTAATACATGGAATAAAACCCTAAAATTAATATCATTTTGAAAAAAAGACGTTAAAAGAGGGAAAAACTCAATTTCACACATCAAAAGGTGAATAAACTGAGTTTTAGTGGCTTTCCCCTCCACTGCATTCCTACTTGTGCTCTGGGAGGAAAAATGGAGGATGGGAATTAAAGGGCGGGAGGATGAGGAGGGCATGGAGAAAGGAGATGGAGTGAGAGAGAAACGAGATGAAAGCATGATGAAGTGAGGAAAAAAAAAAGTAAGGGAGAGGTATCTCAACAAACTCATATGACCTGCAGCCATTCGCGGCAGCCAGCGATGAGTTTTCTTATGACAGTTACGAGAACAGACTGATTTATCCCACAAGCACATGCATTCAGGCGTGCGCGTGCACACATATGAACAACAACACAGCAGCACATTTTACAGGCTACCTTGGAAAAGAGCGTGAAAACTAGACAGGATGATGATTGATACCCGCGTGTCTGGTTGTGTAATGTGTGGCGTCTAGCTGGGCCAAGCTCGCTATACATGTTGCCATTGTGCTACTGCATTGTTGTTGCCATAACAACGAGAAGCAACCACATGATCATCTGAGATATTATCCTAAAGTCTGTCACTTTTTGATTTACTGCTCAGCTTCTCCCTTGAATTGCTGCCAAACACAGTTCCAGCCGTAACAGATTTAGCAAGATTCCCGTGATTCCCATGAACGCACCAGTCGTGTAATCCTGACGAGAGCAACATAAGGACAAACGGTGAGCACTTGCCAAGATCAAGAACTACAGAACTACAGGAAATCCGAACAGACCTTCCCTTTTCTGAATGAATTTTGAGTTATTTTTTGGTAAATCACCATGAAACTCTGTGTTCTTTGCTTATCCGGGTGAAAACAGCGAGTGTGAAATGAATATGCATGTAGTTGTTTAGCAGGATCAGCAGCTTGCCAAGCCAGCTGGTGCTGTGAAGTTAACTGTGTTGGAGGTTTCTTTTTAAAACAGCACATTTTCAGTTTGGTTGGCTACTTTTGATGCTGTATGACCGATGAACTGGTTGCTCTGCCATCACACGTTATTGATCAATCTGCTGTCAATATTTAAAGGACATATGATATTCTACAAGGGAGTTATTTCGTCTGGGAACTGAGGGAGTGAGAGACACAACCTCCCTTACTTTTCTAAATCTAGTTTTTGTCCCCCCGCATTTTTTAAATTTCACCGTTACAATTACAATGACTCACCAAAATCTCTTTAATCTAGAAACCTTAAATTGATAAAAAAGTGAAAATGTAAGAATTACTAAAATGTGCCAACAGAGCGGAACAGAATTGTTTGGGGACTTTTTGCTGCCTGAGTTTTGCCTGTCAGGATAGATACAGGTTGTCCCGACTATATGATTGGTGGAGATAGTTGGGGCTGGATGCAGCCTGACAGGATGCTCTGCAGAAACTTGCACCAAAAATAAAGATCATCGGACAAAGAGAGAGTAAACAACAATGCTCTTTATATAACAACTCATATTTGGTTTAAGTTCCAAATATTTCTAATCTAGAGTTAATCCATTAATAATGCAGAAATGACCATTCCTAATTAATATGTTAGGCTACCATTATAATGAATGAATGAATAATGAAAGGCAAAAAGACCAATTTTATCACCATGTGTGTCACTTATTAAGCTGTTCTCTATAAATGCAGAAAATATTAATGTCCCACATGCACTGGGAGACATTTTCATTACAATGAACATGGGCACTGCAGGTTAATTTGAGTCAATCCCACATACGCCCTCCTGTAGCTGTAAATACTAGTGCACCGAATGTCTATTAATCCACTGCTGAAAACAAATGCATCATGCTTTAAAAAATTAAACTATATACAGTATTTATGACCACTTTTAAAAGTTTTACAGACAGGGAGGGGAAGTTGGAAAGTTTTTTGTGGGATTTGTCAAAAAAAAAAAAAAAATACAATAAAATAATTACCCTGTAATTTCAGTGTGGAAGCTTAAGAAGTGTGACTCATAATTTCATGATTTGAGACTGATGTGATCTGAATGACAAACACAAGTCTGGGTCTGTTTTTTGGGAACCCAGACGGGCCGGATATATGTGCTCCACACTTACTCAACGTTATGTGTGTATAAGTTTAAGCGAGTGTGCGTACGACTCACCGATATCGTCAATTTTTAGGCCTGGTCTAAGTGTGTAGTCTGGCTCTGTAGGCTCTGGCTCATCGTCCACGTCCGAGGCTGAAGGAGGGAGAGAGTGAGAGAGGAGAAATCGAATGAGACGGGAAAAAGAAGGAGAGGGAGAGTGAGGGAGCAGGGGTTAAACCATTTCTCCAACCCAAAGGATTTTAATTACATCCAACTTGACATCTTGAGAGAAACGCGCACAAGAGTGGCAAAGGCAAGGGTGTAGGGGTTAAAAAAAAAAAAAAAAAAAATCTCCCAGAGCAGACAGACTGACAAGCCATAACATCAACCAGCAGCCCTGACAAAGAGAGAGAAAATGAGTAAGCAAGTGAGACAGAGGGAGTGGGGGAGAGAAAGAGTGAGAGGAGGAAGGTGAGGGCAGGAAGATCAAACTGAAGAAGGCAGTGTGTGAAAAGGGATGGAGAGCGATGGGTTCGGGGGGGTATGGGGGGGGGGGGGGTGAAAGAGGGAGGAGAGGTTAATACTACAGGGCTGTGGAAGTTAAAAGGACCGGACAGGCCAGGGATCAAAGTCTGTGTGTACATGTGTGTGAATGTGTGTGAGTGTGAGTGTGAGTGTGGGTGTGTGAGTGTGAGTGTGAGTGTGTGTGTGTGTGTGTGTGTGTGTGTTTGTGTGCTCTCTCGCGTGCGTGCACGCGAGAGAGCGGGTGAGAGAGGGTCGAGAGATTGAAGGACGGCAGGAGCGCGAGTGAGAGAGGTTAACACTATATATACATAGCCACCCACTGACCGCACACAGCAATAAATGGATTCTGACAGGGAGCGAGGGAGGAGGGGTGGAAGGGGAGGAAAGAGGGAGTAGAGGAGAGGAAGGAGGTGGAGGGATGAGGGCCTTCAAAGCTGAAGCTGCTCCTTTCTGCTGCTATAGAAGGACAGAGAGGAAGAGAACGACAGGAGGAACAGAAAGAGAGAGAGAGAGAGAAGGAAAGAAAAGGGGAGCAAAGCGGGGTTCTGTGCTTTGAGTGAAAATGCTGCAGGGGAAACTCAGCAGGAGTATTAATAGCTCTGCCTCCTTTAGACTGTATTTAGACTGTATATGCATCTGTATGCAGCCGGTGTGTGTGTGTGTGTGTTTGTGTGTGTGTGTGAGTGTGTGTGTGTGTGTGTGTGTGTGTGTGTGTGTGTGTGTGTGTGTGTGTGTGTTTGTGAGTTAGAAGTGTGTGTGAGTGGCTTTCGGAGGAGCCTGGTGCCTGGAGAACAGGTAGAGAGGCCAGATGGGTGCAAGTACAGTCTGCAAACGGGTCCAAGCATTGCATTACAGGTCACACACCACACACACCACACACACACACACACACACACACACACACACACACACACACACACACACACACACAAAGTGACAGACTTACCCGTGGAGCAGCAGACGTACACTCGTAGTCTCAGACAGCTGCGGCCGTGGTGATGGGTGGGCGTGGCTGTGAAACATAAAGTGCACAACTGATCAACATGGTGCTAGCCTGAATTCATGTGCTCATAGTGCTTGTATTCAGAGTTGGACACAACTAACTGCAACTGCTTAACTGCAATTCACCAAATTCTGTGGACAGTTTAATGTTGGTTGTAAAAGCAATGGGTTAAAAATGTTCAGATCTGATCTTAACGCAACACAAAGGTTTGTACAGTGGTGTGAACAACAACTGGTTGTCTTGAACAGCTGTTTTGTAAGAAAGACAAACGTTTTATCTCCATACTGAATCTGAACTCACATTATATAGCATATATAGATTTTTGAGGTGATGCTGGTATTTATATGGTGTTTAAAAATCTGATATATTGTGTATATAGTAATGTTCCATAACATAAATATAAAAAAACACTCTTGATATGCATCCCTCACTGAGCAGGACATTTTACAGTTGGAAAATCAGCTCGTCAGAGTTATTATGTAATTGTCACACTCTTTCTAAATGACCTCAGACCTAGTTTGGCATTTCTGTATTCCAATTATTTTTGGTAGTTATCAGCCAGCAGATACACAAATACCGAAATATGCGCAATGAGCTAATACAGACTGATGTATCAGTCGGGCCGACTTAGAAGTCGAGCTCTTATATATAATCATTTGAGGAGCATATTTCTCTGGCTGTATGAACATAACTAAAAAAACAAGTTTTTTTTAAGGCCAGGAGAGAACTAAACCGAAGCATGTCTTTGTAGTAAAGCACGGTGCAGCTTTCTGATTTTGGTGCAAAACAACTTTCTAGAGACGTCTCCCGGAAAGTAATGTAGGTTAAATGAGTACAGCGCTCATTATGCAGCCATTTAATGCATGAGACATTTATCTTTAGCCTGAAATATTTGTTTTCAAATTGTTTTATGACTAGCTAAAAGTTCATTATTTATACAGTGTCATATTAGCACAAGGTGTTGTGAGTTAATTTGATTAGCAATCAACAAAATGGATGAGCCCACCTGACTGCAGGGTGATATGATTAGATGTGAAGCAGCAATTTGTTATGCAGAAATTACCTGAGGACAAACTTTGACTAATCTGAACAGAGGATTCATCAAATCCATTTAACAATAAAGAAAATTAACATTTAATCTACAGGAGTGTTTGTCAGATCATAGCTCTAGTCTCATTGACCTCCTCCTGCAGGAATAAGAATAGTTTATCCTCCTTTTCCATTTATATTGTGGGGACACACAGTCCACTAGCACACAATATTGATATGTATTGACATGATATTGGTTTGATTCCACTCACAGATGTAGTAGTACTCCTGTCCAACGTGGAACTCGTAGCCCAGCGAGAAGGCGCTGTAGCGCTGGAACTTCTCGGAGAACTTGATGGGTGCGTGGGGGGCGTGAGGCCGGTTACACTCCCACCTCTTGAAGCCCAGCTGGGGGTCACAGTTCCTGTAACCACGGTAACTGACCATGTAGAGGACGTACTGCTCTCCGGTGCCAACCATGCGCTGGCTATCATTGTAATGAGGGCAGTAGATGTCCAGGTAGTCGTTGACGTTCACCTGCATTGTGTAGCCTTCCCTGCGCAGACTGGAAACACACAGAGATTATATCAGTATACATTTGAACAATGACTTCCTCTGTACCCTTAATCAAAGGGTTTCATGTTGACATTAAACATTACTGCATATCCACACCGTTCTCATCTTTAACAGGCACACGCAACAAAACACAGGATAATGTGCTACCAGGAAATGCACAACTTTTATATTCACAAATGTGACAATAAACAGTGTTGTTAGTACGGCACACAAAATGTACACAATGCTTTTCACTAAACGCTATTATTTTAATAAACTCACACAGTCGTGTTTTCTCCATTAGCACACACGCACACACACGCACACACACACACACACACATACACACACACACACACACACACACACACACACAATTTAGCTGCATTTTTGTTTCGCCATAGTTTCCATAAAGTTCCACATTTTGCATTTTTGCTGTTAACTGGCACTAATTCCAATTACACACACACCATTTTTAGACACACACACATTTCTGGCATTAACGCAACACTCCCTGTCACATACATCACTGCAGAGAGAGCTTAACATCTCACGTTGTTGTAAGGTATGTTGTGTTTCAGATGCTTGCTGCTTGAATGTTCACCCAGGGGTCAAACAGATCTTTGTTTGAGAGTTATCCAGTTATTAATAACACAAAAGCAGGTGAGTGTGTGTGTGTGTGTGTGTGTGTGTGTGTGTGTGTGTGTGTGTGTGTGTGTGTGTGTGTGTGTGTGTGTATCTGAGGCTGCAGGGCTGCTGCATGCAGAGAATGCGGAGCTGGCTCTTCAGTATGGACTCAAGGCCCCAGGGCCACAGCTCCTTCTCCTGGTGTCAGCGTAGCGTTGTCCCCTAACCCCAGTGCTCGTACATCAACCTGAGAGCAACGTTGCGCTCACGTCAGCCGTCAACGTCGTGGCCACGTCCCCCCATCCCCCCCCCGCCGCCCAAAGCTCATATATCAGCGTCAACCCTAAAAAAGACTCGGCTTGACAGGAAGATAAGGTCTGATTCTGTGTGAGCGTGTGTATGTGTGTGTAGACGTGTGTGTAGTTTGTGTGACAAAGTGAAATAGATTCTTTCCTGACATCCAAAAGCCCTCTTTTTCTCCCCATCACAGACACGGGCCCATATCTGTGTGACAGAGACAGGTTGCAGTTGTAAATCATACACACACCGATGAGCATGTGCACGCGCACACACAAACAGACAGACACACACACACACATTCTCAGATGTTCTAGTGGTGACACCATAAAATCACAAGGGGGCAGCAGTGTGTCATCCCCAGCCTGATGCTTCCTCTCTACCTCTTTGCCAGTTCTAGGTCATGTCTCCAGGGAGATTATTATTCAATTATTAAATGAAGATCGAAACACTGTTCCCAATGTCTCCCTCTCTCCATCATTTCTTACTGCGCTCTTCAAATCCTTCCTGAATTTGTCTTTTTCTCCCTGCTCTCCATTTCTCTCCTCCCTTTCTTTCAGAGCAACATGAACGCAAGATTAATTGTTCGACATCTTTTTCCTCTCCTCTCCTCTCTTCTCCTCTCTCCTCTCCTCTCCTCTCATTACATCATTTACTAGCCTGCAGAAGAGATTTACTTCTTGTGGTATTAGTGGCAGAAAAAAGCGTAAAATGCTTCAAGGGAACTATATTTATAGTGAATGCAAAAAAGAGAGAGAGGGAGATATGGAGAGCGAGAGAGAAAGAACATGAGTGAGGGATGAGTTTGGTTCCACCAGGGAGGCGTGAATGCAAATTGAGTAAAAAAGCAGTGAGAGCCAGAACGGAGCAGACAGAAAAAAAAAAAAAAAGGAGGCGGTTGGAGAGTTTTACGCTACCAAAGAAAAGCACGTTCTCCGAGATGAAGGGATAATGGGAGAAAAGAAAGAGAGAAAAATGAGGGGGAGGGCAGCTCGGAGCATCTTGAGTAATCTGAAAGCAAATCACTTCTCAAAGATAAAAGCTGGCTTTAGGATTCCCACTGTGTACGTGTGTCTATTTGTATGTCTATGTGTGCACCTGCTTCGGTTTGTGTGTGTGTGAACAAGCGTCTCTATGTGTGATATCAAAGCGTATCACCTCAAGCTGCCAACTTTTTATATCAGTGTGACATATTTAAGGTGTGTGTCTTTGACATAAATTCACACAAAAACAAAAACAAACACTAAACATCCAATCCAACTAAAACTAAATCCACTCTCATGTAAAAAAGTGGCATCGCAATCCCTTAACGTTGAATTAATCCATCTGAGACCACAATATGTTTTAGTTTCAAGGTCGTGGATAATCAGAAAATCAGATGCGGCCAATTGCAGAGGGAGTAAAACCATTGTTTTTAATCTTTTACCTCTGCAGTCTCATTTGTATGTGACAATGATTTCGCATTAGCAGGAAGTTGCATCAAACAAAACGCTCCTTAATTGCCCCTAAGTTGCATCAACAACTTCGCATTAAATCATGTACAGAGCTTTGTGCAGGTAATAAAATCTGTGTTTGAGACAAGCCATCAGGACCAGCGCGGGGCTGGGCTGTTATTCTGGTTTAGTGGCCACACTGCTATTGGTCATGTGACATCCTCTGGCACACAAAAACTCTCTGCCCTACACATGCAGGAATGGGCTGCAAAGTATGGCCCTGGCTTGAAGTGCGGTTTTGTATTACAAGTCATGATGTTCATCTGTGCCAGTTGGCCAAGTTCTGTGTTTTTAACAAATTGCGTTTTGTGCTGTGAGTGAGCAAAAAAAAAAAAAAAAACTCTACAACATGATGCAATCCAATACAACAGTTCAGTACAAACTATTTGAAACGTACAGTAACTGTTGCATCCATCGCTGGTACCCAGTCACTGTAGTAACAAAACAGAACACAGTATAACAAAAATAAGGCCTGTTGGTGTATTCACTTATAGTTAAGAATAATGTGCAGTTTAACTTTGACTTTGCATTGATAGATATCAGAAATGACTCCAGTCAGTTCCACAAGGTGAGATACACAGATCCTGCTTTTGGCTTGGTGCTTTGTGTATAATCCAGACTGGAGGTCTTGACGAGGTGGAAGAAAAAGTGAGACTGATCCGTGTTTACACAGTAAATTATATAGAATGTGACTGTCGCTGTGTCAGAGAGGTGTTGATTCAACTTCTAATTCTGAGGCTGTTGTTTTTGTTTTTGTTGTTGTTCTACTGGGCTGCATAATCTGGTGGTGTGTCTGGAATTTGAGCGCCTGCAGTGCATGTCAATAAGTTCAAAAAATATATTATGCAGTCCCATTCAACAACACAGTCACAAAATGAACCAGAAAATACAGTAACCGAACGTACTCGTCTTATTGTACAAGTCATTTTTTAATTAATTAAATATTTATTAAATAGAAATGTTGTTGTTTTAATTGAATGAAAGCTCCACGAACTGACCACACTGTGACTTCAATTTAAGTGTTTATGCTCATCATTTAAGTGAAGCAGTTAGATATAAACTGTCTGTTGGGGATGTGCCTCTTTCTTTCGTGCAAAGTTGGTGTGACAGCTTCATACAATCGCAATCACATTATTCCTTCAGTCTGCTTCAAGACAAAAGAGAATGTAATAAATATTTTATTTTAAAAAGCTTGTTTCCCAAAAAATTGTGAATAAAAATCCATTCTGACTGAAAGGCCTTTTTCCGGAGGCTCTTTTTTATTCCCCCTTTATGACACTGGAGTTTATTGGATAGTAATGCTCCCCGAAAACTCTAAATAAAGAGAGATGGAGAGACACAAAGGTGGAGTAGCTTATGAGACATCATGATGTGTTGCTGTCCTCTGCTCTTTCCCGATGCCTCCCTCTCCTTTTGTGTTGGATCACCACTAATTTCCTCTCTCAAAAGTGATACCTGGCTCCTTGAATCTGATGGCAGCGAGAGCGCAGAGATGGAGCGGGACACTTTTTTATTAACAACACAACTCGGAGGAGCCGAACCAGCGGCTTAGAAGAAAAGAAGAACGTTTCTATACAGATCCATCGGAGGGATGGAGCGATGGAACGACGGAGAGAGAGATGGGAGGATTTATAGGATGAGACGAGGGGTAGTCGGGGTTAAAAGCTGCAGAGTCTGGCCACCAGGGAGCGTGGGGGTGATAGCGGGAGGGAGCGAGAAGAAGCAACAGCTAAGAGCAAGATCAAAGTGGGCCTGGATCAATGTCACTACTGTAAAATCACATCAGAGGGTGTGAGAGGGAGGGAGAGAGAGAGACAGAGAGAGAGTATGTTGCCTATATAAATGCAACATAATGCCACAGAGTTACCCCCCGCCTCACTATTATCTGCCCGGCCTGTTGGAGCACCACATAAATAAAGCACTTTGACAGTAACAGCAATCATTCCTCTTTGTTCTCTGTTGGTAAAATGGTAGATTTTGTAAAGAAGGGGGGGGGGGTCTGGGCAGTGGGGCCAGTGACTGTAGCTGTCCCCTCCTCATAGCATGGTGTTATACTGAATATATAGCACATCGGTCAACTTACCACTTCATTATTTACATGGTTACTTTATTGTGGACAATTTGTCTTGTGTGCCCAGACCTATCGCCACTATTACGCTTTGCCACCAGTCTGAATATGTGTAAAAAATGTTTGAATTATCTAGGTGAGATAGATGAAAGCTCACCAATGCTAAATATTCTCAGGTGGGAAATGTTACTTATTAAAACACGTTTTGCACATGGCTTATTAAACCTTCTTGTCATGACAGGTCAGCGAATGTACAAGAATGTCCCTTAATAGCAACATTTAAAATAATCCCATTAGTGACCTTGCAAATTGCCATGGAAACCGGGAGAGGAAAGGCATAAGGAAGCACGATGCAAGAGTCAGCCACAGTGGGAGACTTGGGGAGGCTCAGCTCAGCAAACCAAGGTCCAGTTAGCGAAGTGGCTAACTACTTTAACCCCAAATAACAAGTTTGAACTTTTCCTAATAAATAGCTCTTAATTGTTTTAGTACTAATAAGTCTTTTCAAAGTAGGAAAAGTAAAGG